CATCCTCCCTCCTTCCCTCCATCCCCTCTCCTTCTCTCCCTCCAGGCTTGGCCCATTGATGGGGGGAAGAACCTGGCCCAGGAGCCCACGCAGAGGGGGCTTCTCCTCACTGGGTGAGTGGCCTGGCAGTGGGAGGGGGGGCCTGGGAACTCCAAACTGTGAGGGGGACACACATCCTCACCCCTTCCTGGGGTGGGGAATTGGGATGGGGTGGTGGTGAGGCCCAGCCACTTGCTGGGTGGGCTGCCTTTCCTCATTCAGCTTGATGGCTGGGCACGAGTGTGCCACCCTCTGCGCTGTCCTCCCTTGTCCCCCCCTCTGGCACGGTGGCTGCCAGCACACAGGCGGCTCTTGTTAGCCGGGCAGATGTCGGGGCCCCGTGCTGACAGGGCCCCCCCGCGCAGGCACGAGGACGGCACGGTGCGGTTCTGGGATGCCTCAGGGGTCTCCCTGAAGCCCCTCTACAAGCTGGGCACTGCCAGCATCTTCCAGACAGACTGTGAGCACAACGACAGCCTCAACCAGGCGGGCGAGGAGGAGTGGCCGCCGTTCCGCAAGGTGAGGTCCCCAGGGCAGGGGGGGCACTGCCATGGACCCTGGCACTCCCCTGGCTCTGCCAGCACAGAGGGGGGCAAGCCCAGAGGCGGGCACGGGGGGTGCACCTGCCGGAGCCATCCCGGCTGCGCCCCGGGGACGTGTCCCCCGGCTCAGGGCACAGCTGCCGTGTGACGCACCGTGGGGACACAAGGGACGTTTGTTCCGTGTGCCCCGTCCCGCGGGTGTGCCCTGGTGGAGGGGGAGAGTCGGGGGTGCGTGGGGACAGACCTTCCCTGGGCGTGATGCCATGTGCCACAGCTGCTGGGAGGATGTGGGGGTGCAGCGGGGGGCCCACCCCACAGCTGTGTGAAGGGTCCCAGCCCCCCTTCACCTGTGTCGTCCCCCCCCAGGTGGGCTGCTTTGATCCCTACAGCGATGACCCACGCCTGGGTGTGCAGAAGATCGCGCTCTGCAAGTACTCGGCCAAGATGGTGGTGGCAGGCACAGCAGGGCAGGTAGGGCAGAGAGAACAGAGCAGGGGCTGGCTGGGCACCTCTCGGCTCCCCACTTGGGGACCCACAGCATGGGGGGGCTGCAGAACCCACAGACCACCATGGCTGTCCCTGAAGGGCTCCTACCCATGGGGTTTAGCCCCTGGCATGCTGCAAGGTGGCTGGCTGGAGGGCCCAGCATGTGCCCCGCTCTCCATGCTTGTCCCTGCAGGTGCTGGTGATGGAGCTGAGCGATGAGAAGTCGGAGCACGCGGTCAGCGTGGCCACGGTGGACCTGCTGCAGGACCGCGAGGGCTTCACCTGGAAGGGGCACGACCGGCTGGCCCCCCGGAACGGCCCCCTGCACTTCGCCCCTGGCTTCCAGCCCAGTGTGCTGGTGCAGTGCGTCCCCCCCGCCGCCGTCACCGCTGTCACCCTCCACTCCGAGTGGAACCTCGTGGCCTTCGGCACCAGCCACGGCTTCGGGCTCTTCGACTATTACCGGCGCAACCCCGTGCTGGCCAGGTATGGGGGCTCTTGGTGCTGGGGACACCCCAGAGCGACGTGGCGGGGTCTGGGTGCTGAGCGTCATCGGTGCCTGCAGGTGTACCCTGCACCCCAACGACTCGCTGGCCATGGAGGGGCCCCTGTCCCGCGTGAAGTCCCTCAAGAAGTCCCTGCGCCAGTCCTTCCGCCGCATCCGCAAGAGCCGCGTGTCCGGCAAGAAGAGGCTCAACGCCAGCAGCCCCTCCAGCAAGGTGGGCAGGGAGCGGGGGCCACCGCTGCGGCTCCCTGTGCCCGCCGGGCAGGGACTGACCCCGTGTCCCCCTCCCCAGGTGCAGGAGGCCAACGCGCAGCTGGCGGAGCAGGCGGGGCCCCCCGAGGTGGAGATGACGCCGGTGCAGCGGCGGATCGAGCCCCGCTCGGCTGATGACTCGCTCTCGGGGGTCGTGCGGTGCCTCTACTTCGCCGACACCTTCCTCCGCGACGGTGAGACCCCCCTGCCTGGCCGGGGAAAGCCCCTGAGCTGGCTCTGGCTGGTGCCATGCCGAGGGGGCTCTGACACTGCTCCCACCGCTGCAGCCGCCCACCACGGCCCCACGATGTGGGCAGGGACCAACTCGGGGTCGGTGTTCGCCTACGCCCTGGAGGTGCCGTCGCAGGAGAAGTTCTCGGAGCGGGCGGTGGAGGCGGTGCTGGGGAAGGAGATCCAGCTGATGCACCGGGCGCCAGTGGTGGCCATCGCAGTGCTGGATGGGCGGGGGAACCCCCTGCCTGAGCCCTACGAGGTGTCTCGGGACCTCGCCAAGGCCCCCGACATGCAGGGCAGCCACTCCATGCTCATCTCTTCAGAGGAGCAGTTTAAGGTGAGCACGGGGTTCAATGTCCTGCTGTGGAAGGGATGGGACACAACACGTCCTATGTCCCCATTGTGCAGAACCAGCCAGGTCTGGGAGCTCTCCTATGCCTGTCCCCAGGGTGGTGGATCCAAGGGGAAGGTGCTGCCCTTTGCTAAGGGCACCACCAAAACCCTGCAGGTTCCTGTTGCCCTCTGACACCTGGCTCCTCTTCCCCTCCCAGGTCTTCACGCTGCCCAAAGTGAGTGCCAAGACCAAGTTCAAGCTGACGGCGCACGAGGGCTGCCGGGTGCGGAAGGTGGCCCTGGTGAGCCTGGCCAGCGCCGGCTCCGAGGAGCGGCTGGAGAACTGCCTGGCCTGTCTCACCAACCTGGGGGACATCCACATCTTCACCGTGCCCAGCCTGCGGCCCCAGGTCCACTACAGCTGCATCCGCAAGGAGGACATCAGCGGCATCGCCTCCTGTGTCTTCACCAAGCACGGCCAAGGTGAGGGCGCCACGTGACATCCCACGTCGATGGGATGTTGTCCTTTGCTGCAAGCCCCTGAAGCTCCCTTCTGTCCCCTCTGTAGGTTTCTACCTAATCTCGCCGTCCGAGTTCGAGCGCTTCTCGCTGAGCGCCAGGAACGTGACGGAGCCGCTGTGCCGGCTGGAGGTCGCCCGGCTCCAGGACACCTCCTGCCTCAGGTGGGACATGGCCCAGGGGCCACGGGGGCTTTGCTGCAGCAGCAGCCCTGTGCACCCACCCCACTGGCACTGGCTCTGGACATAACTTGTCCCTTTCCTTCCAGCAACAGCTTGATGGCGACGCCAAAGCTGCCACAGGCGAACGGCACCCACGTCCCGTGCAGCCCCGAGGGCCAGCACTCCCCCTCCGACAGCGACCGTGAGTGATCCCCCTGTCCCGGCACAGACACCGTGTCCCGTGGGCTCTGCCCTGGGGCTGGCTCCATGGCCTGGCTGCCTCCAATCCTCCCTGTCCCCATCGCTCTCCAGGGTCCCCTGAGGAGCACTTGGCTGCCTTCTCTCCTGGCCCCATTGACTCCCCCAACAGCAGCCTGGAGAACCCCCTGGACACCACTGGGGACATCACTGTGGAGGAAGTGAAGGATTTCCTGCCGTGAGTGGGCTGGGAATGGGCTAACTGGTGCCAAGGGGCTGTGGTGGTGCCCTCAGCTGCCCCTGACCCTGCTCTGCCCCAGGTCCTCGGAGGAAGCAGAGCGGAACCTGAGGAACGCCAGCGAGGACGAGGCCCGGCCCACGGGGATCCTCATCAAGTGAGGTCTGTGAGGGGCTGGTCCCTGGGGTGGGAGTGGGGTTTGGTCCTGGGAACCCAACGCCACGCCCTGGCATCCACATCCCTCCTGGGAGGAGTGGGAATGTGCTGTGGTCCCCTGGGGCTGGTGGAGGAAGGGGAGCAGGGGGGGATGCGTGTCCTGGCTCTCCCAGTCCCCTTCTCAGGGGCCGTGTCCCCTGCAGGCACCGCCGGCCTCCCTGACCCATCTCAGTGCTCGGATTCCCGGGACGCGCGACTCGACTGGACCCCCCGCGCCCCCTCCCCCTGTAACGTAGACTCGCCTCTTCTCTAACATCTGGCTCCGGCACCTTCCCCACGCACCTCCCTGCCCGGCCGCCGGCCCCGGACCCTCAAGCTGGGCCTGTGGGGCACAAACTCTTCCCGGGGAAGATATTTTTCTTTTTTATACACGGTCGAGTGTCACTGTCCCCTGCTCCAGAGCCCCCTTCCTGGGGGATGCTGCTGCTTCCCCGGCTCCGTGGGGAGGGCTGGGGCTCGTGGGATCCCCCCTTGTCCGCCGGTTTTGGTCCCTCGGGGAGGTGGAGGGCCAGGAGCCCCTGGGCACGGCCCCCCCCATACCCTGGTCTGTGTTTACATGCCCGGCTCCCTGCAGTTTACAGCCCCATCCCCTGCCAGCTCCGGCTGCCATGCAGGGACTGTCCCATTCCCAGGGGAGCCCAGCGGGGACCCCCTGGTTCCCAGGCAGGCACCAGAGGCCTTGAGCAGCCCGGGGAGGGGCACAGTGGGGGGGTCACAGGTGGCCTTTTTCTCTTAGTGGCTTCTCCAAGGGCTATTCTCCAGGTTGGGCTCCGTGCCTGCTGCTCCTTTCTGACACTAATTCCTGCCATGGGTGGATTTGGGATGGGATCACGCTGTGGGAATACACACCGGCTCCTGCTCCTGGTCCGTGTTGGTGCTGGGGGGGCAGATGGGGCTGCCCCAGCCCCCTCCTGCCCCAGGCTGGGCTGCCCCACCCTGGGGGTCTCACTGTGCCAAATCCCCCCTGGGCTCTGAGCCCGGCCTTGCCCTCCCAGGGGGCTGTGGTGATGCCGGCTCTGTCCCCTGGCCCATGGTGGCTGTCCCCATAGGGCTCAGCCTGGCCCCTGCCCCTGTCTTTTTGGGGATCCAGGGCCGTCGTGGCCCCCCCACGGGCTCTCTTGCGGTACGTGTGTGGCTGGGGGGGTCGGGCTCTGTCGCTGCCGGCTGAGGCCGGGGCTGTAGCGTCCCTGGTAGAACCCCCCTCACACCTCATCCTTGGTTTCTTTTTTTTTTTTTGTTTTGGTTTTTTTTTTTTTTTTGGTAAGATGAATTTAGCATTGTTTAGTTATTAAAAATACTGGTTTTTAATATTGAAAATAAAGCATTTAATATCAACTGCCCGGGCTGCAGGTGTTCTGGGAGCCTTGGAGCCAGGTGAGTGCTGGGGTTCCCCTGAGCTGTGGGAGGGGCAGGATCAGGGTGGGGCGGGGACCCCACTTGGGAGTGAGACAGAGCCTGGGACGGTGTTGGGGTGAGAAGGGCAGCCTTTATTGATATGATCCTGCTGGGCTGATCCCTGCCAGGGTTCCATCCCCCAGGACAGCTGTACATCCCCCAGCTGTAAGGCCCAGGGCTGAGAGCCCCTCACTCTCCCCCGTTCTCCTTAGCAAAGCGTCCTCCCCCCAGACTGGGAATCGCTCCTGCCCCCCAGTCGCAGGGGGAGCTCGGCACTGGTTTGGGGCAGCGGCATCCCCAAGCAGGGTGTAACAGGGGCCCTCCCAGGAAAGGGAGGGGCCCTGTGCCAGGAGAAGGTGGGGACAGAGCCCCAGTGCTCCCCACTGGCCCCGGCTCTGGGGGGAAGCAGCTCCAAGCCGAGCCTGGCTGGGAGCAGGCATGTGCGGCAGCGCAGGGTGCTGTGTCCAGCCGTGCCGGGGGGGCCGTGGCCGGAGCACCGGGTGCCCCCAGCCCTTAGGCGGGTGGTTTGCGGAACACACTCCAGGCGTGGAAGCAGCGGGTGAAGGGCCAGGGCTCGTTTCCTTTCCGCACCAGGCGGAGCTTGCGGGGCCGCGCGGGGTCCTTGGAGCGCATGTGCTGGATGTAGACCTGGGGCAGAGCACGGCCGTGGGGGTCCCCAGCCCTCGCCCACCGCCAGGGCTGGCATTCCCTAGCCCGGGAGTTCTGCACCAGCCTGACCAGGGCCTCGAGGGGAGATGGAAGTGCCCAAATCTTCCCTCCCACAGCCCCAAGCTGGAGAAGGAGGGAGGCCTTACCTGGCACGCCTTGAGGCTCAGCTTGATCTCCACCTGGCTGGTCTGGGTGCCCACCCACATGTAGACCTGCGGGAAGGACCAGCAGTCGGGCTCAGCACATGGAGCCGCTGGAAGATCCAGACCCAGGAGAGCCTCCTGCCCCCAGCTCACCTCTCGCCCGTTGTCCAGCAGCATGATGTCATCATCAGCCAGATCATCCTGGCAGAAATCCGAGCACTTTTCCGACACGGAGAAATAACCCTTCTCATTGGAGCACCTGTGGGGACAGCATCAGGCATGAGTTTGTTAGGACTCTGCTCCTGCAGAGGGAATGGACGTGATGGAGCAGCTCTGTTTTGGTTTGTTGATTCCCAAGGGGTGGACAGAGCTGGGAGAGGAGGGGACTGGGCAGCGTGGGAGGAAGGAAACCAGCAGATTGGAGCAGCCCTCCCTGGGCCAGCACCCACCTGAAGAGCCGGGAGTGCTTCATGTAGTCGGCATCTTCATCGTAGGGCTTCTGGCTCCCGATGCCCACCCAGAAGAAGTTTTCGGGCTCCTCTCCCTCGTTGATGACCTGCAACGGCAGGGACAGGGCTGAGCGTGGCCTGGGTGGTCCCTGTCACTCAGGTAAGCTGGCACTCAGTCCCACTCACCTGTTTGCTGTAGGAGTCATCAAACATGTGGTTCATTATGTCCTCGGCCAGCTTGGCCTCGTCAGGGTCGGCTGCCCGGCCCACCCATGTGTAGACAATGCCCTGGTTGTCTGTGCTCTCAAAGGGCACCTGAGGAGCACAGAGTTAGGGCTGCCCAGGGGGGCACGAGGGCACCCAGGCATCCCTGAGGATGCTGAGCCCCAAGCAGTACCTTGAGGATGAAGCAGAACTCGGAGTTGAGCAGAGCAGCGTCTGTGTTGATCTGGATGCACCTAGAGAAGGAGCCCCAGAGGCACAAATCAGCAGGAGACCCGGCAGCTGTGCCCACCGGTGGGTATCCCACCTGGACCCTGGAACCCGTGGGTGGTGCCTGGCCCGGAGCAGCCCCTGGAGCACTGACCTGGTGCAGAGGGCCCCGCCGTTGGTGCGGATGTGGTAGAGGCTGGGCTGGGGAGGGCTGGCCCGCTCCTTCCGCTTGCCCCGGTGGATCACAAACCTCCTCTTGAAGTGCGAGAGGAACTTGGGGTTCTCCTGCTGCTGGGTCATGCGCACCACCTGGACAGGGGTGGGTGTCAGCAGGGCCATGGGGATCCCCCAAACGCAACCCCAAGCTCCAGCTGCACCCCCCTGCCAGCCCCCATCTCTGCTGCTGTTCCCTGCCCTCAGCCTTGGAAGCAGAGAGGGGTACCCGTGTCACCCCCCAAGCTGTGTCACCTCCAGCTTGCCAGGGAAGAGACTCTCAAACTTCTTCTGGAGGCTGAAGGTGAAGGTGAGCCAGCCCATGTTGGAGGCCTCCCGGCCCTGCCAGAAGTAGACGATGCACTGGAAGTCTTCTTCGGGTTGTTTCTCCTCCTCCTCTTCCTCACCCTCCTCCTCCCCTTTGCCTTCACCCTTCTTCTTCTTCTCCTCATCCTCCTCATACTCCACTGGCACCCAGTACCTGAGGGCCAGAACAGGGAGTGGTGTGAGGGATGGGGCAGGCTGGGGGCCTGGGCAGGGAGGTGGGGGACAAGGTGGTCCAGCAGCCCCCGAGTGGGCACAAGCTGGGTGTCACCTGCACAGGAAGACGTAGCAGTCGTGGGTGTGGAAGTGGCCAAACTCCTCCTCGGGCAGGCGAGCGAACTTCTTGCCCTCCAGCACGAAGCCCTCCATGCCATCCAGATCCTCGTTCCACTCCTCCATCAGCTGCTCTGCCTGTGACCCCACGTGCATCATCAGACCCCCGGCCCCTCCACGAGCACCCAGCCCATGCCATGGGGGGACTCACAGGAGTCCCTAGCCCTACCTCGCTGAGGGGCATGGGGGGCTGCCGGGGCAGGAAGAGCGCCGTGAGGTCGGCCTTCATCTGGTCCTTCTTCTCGGCGTCCTTGCGGACCTTGCCGGCCAAGCCACCATCCTGCAGCACCGTCTCGGCGTTCCGGGTGTAATCCACGCGCAGGACGTCGTCCCAGTTCTTGAACTTGGACTTGAACACCTAAATCACAGAATCATTAAGGTTGGTAAAACATCTCAAAGGTCACTGAATCCAACCTCTGTTCAATCGCCGCCTTGTAACTAGGCCAGAGCATGGAGTGCCACGTCCCATCGTTTCTGGGACACCTCCAGATGTTCAAGGTGTAAACTGGGGAGCAGGTAACACACCCTGGGCCACAGCACCCTCCCTGGCACCCAGCACCCCATCCAAGGGGTCTGTGCCCTACCTGGCACTCGGTGCCCTCGAGGTTCCTGGTGACCATGGCGTGCTTGGGCCGGTGCAACATGGTGCACAGCTCCTGGCTCAGCTTCAGCGCCGCCGCCCGCACCAGCCGCGACGACTTCCTCCCGATCCAGATGAAGACGTCGGACCAGCAGTCCAGGATGTACACGCTCTTGGTGTCCAGCAGGCTCTGCAGCTGAGGGCATCCCAGGGAAGAGAAGGTCAGGCATTCCCAGCTGGAAAACACCCTGCCTGCTCCTGACAGCAGGGAAGAGCAGAGCATCCCCCAGCCGGGCGCTGCTGGCCGAACCTGCCTCTCCCAGGGCACAGCTGGAGGCAGAGGGGGCATGAAACCAGTCTCACTGGTCAGACTGGGAGAACCTCCCCACCCCATCCTACCAGGCGCATCTCTGGCATCAGATCAGCCTTCAGCCTCTTCTTGTGCTCCACTGAGAGCCTGTAGTTGATCTGGGGCAGCTCCAGGTAGCCCAGACCGAGGCCGACCTGTGGAGGAAATGGGTACACAGGTGAGGGGGGGCTGCAGGACCCCAGCAGTGCCCACATCCCAAAGGACACAGCTCCTCCCCACCTTGTACAGCTTGGGCTTGTGGGGCTGGAAGTCATCAGGGACACAGGGCCGGATCTCCTCGGGCTGCCCCCCCAGTGCCTCCCAGAACTCGGGGGTCTCCTGGCCCTGGGTGAGCAGCGTGATCTCGGCCTTGCCCTTCCGCTCGTTCTTGTTGATCTTCTCGGCGAAGAGCCTGTGGCAGGAGCAGGTGAGATGGCAGCTGGGCTCCCCACACGCCCAGCCCCCTCACCAGCCCTACCTGGCCTTGGTGGTGCTGCTCAAGGTGGCCTGGCTCCCACGCCACACCATGAGGTCGAGGCCATGGTCCAGGAGGAAGACAAACCTGGTGGAGACAGGTGAGAAGAGTCAGGAGAGAGTGGGGTGCACAAAGTGTCCCCCTCACCCTGGGGCTCCCTGCAGGGGCACCACAGCTGCCAAGTAGGGTTTGGACCCACATCCTTGTAGGAAGGAGCTGGAATGACCCATTTTCAGGAGCTGCAGCTACACTGTCTCAGGTGGACCCTGCTGCACTTACTTTCTGCAGGGCCCATGTCCCCTGGCCACTCACCGTGGGTCCAGCGATGTCCCTTTCAGTGCCACTGGCTCCAGCTTGACGTTCTTCTTCCCATAGACACGGTACAGCCTGGGGGAGGGACAGCCATGGTGGGACATGGGGCACTGCCTGCCCCCCACCTCTCCTGTCCCCAGCAGTACCTGGTGACATATTGTGTGTCCTCAACGGTGAAGAAGCCGCTGGCTGTGCCACCCTCGATGTAGGAGATGTCATTGTCGAAGACCTGGGGGCAGGGAGAGGGTGAGGGTGGGAGAGGAGGGGCTGGGGGCTACAGGGGAGCCAGGGGCTGGCCTCACATGGAGGAACTCTTCGCTCTCATCCCCCATCTCCTCCCGGATGCAGCGGCACTCGGCCCCCAGGTAGTTGCGGAGGTTGACGGCGTGGATGGCAGAACAGGCCTTCTTGTCCAGCGTCGACTCCTGCCCGATCCAGTAGTAGATCTCCCAGTTGAGGGAACCATTCTCATCCAGGAATGTCTAGGAAAGGACAGGGTGTGAGATGGGACAGCTGCATCCCCAGGCTGGGGATGTGGGGGACCCTCGGTCCCCCCCAGGTACCTTGAGCACGATGTAGCAGTCGGCCTCGTAGAACTTGCCGTGGAAAGCCTCGTCCACCAGCGTGGGCACGAAGTTCTCGATCTGCCAGACACAGAGGCCAGGCAGCTGCCCCACGTCCTCACTGAAGAACTCCGAGTAGTCCAGTTGTGGCTTCTCCAGGCCCTGGTCCCAGCGCCGCGTCTTCAGGTCCGGCGCCTTCGCCTCCCCGCTCTCCTGTGGGGCACGGACAGGTCAGCAAGATGGGAACAACACAGGGGGTGGGACAGGGTCACTGCAATGCCCTCGGGGCCCCTCTCCCACCTCTATCTTCTTGTTCTTCTCCTGGGCCACGTCTGACATCCCCTTCAGCACCTGCTTGGCCTGGTCGTCCTGGGCAGAGTCCTTGCGCCGCCGGAGCCGCATCTTGCGGGCCAGCGGGTCCTTGGTGCCACTCCCTGGGGACACAGGGACGGGGTGAGAGGCAGCCAGGACAGCTGTGGGGCACCCTAAGGAGCACAGCTCATTCCCCAGGCTCTCCCAGGGGCTGTCCCCATCATGCACACTCACCTGCAGCAGCGGCAGCAGCCACAGTGGCCGGGGAGGCCCCAGCCAGGCGGAGCTGGTTCTGCAGGGAGAAGTCGATGTTGTACCACTCCGAGGTCCGATCCACCGGCTTCGGGGGCATCACCAGGTTGGGGTTCTCGCGCACGTCCAGGACCTGCCAAGGAGGGGACAGAGGCCTCAGTGCTCTGAAGCACCTCCTTACAAGGACATTGAGGATGTGGCGTGGGATGGAGACCTCCGGAGCGCCCTGGGCTTTGGTGAGGTGAGGGGATGTGGAGGGAGCACCGAATCCTCCCCCTGCCTGGGCAGAGCCGAGTGCCAGAGTGCCTCAATTGCCCCTGACCTCGCCTCACCCATCCCACCCTACAGCCCTGGGATCCCCGGGACGCACTGGGGCTGTGGTGGAGCCAGCCTGAGGCAGGGGGTGCTGGGGGCTCACCTCCACATCCGTCAGGAAGTGGATGGCCTCTGGCAACGTCACCAGGCGGTTCTTGTTCAGCACCAGCTTCCTCAGCTTGGAGCACCTGTGGGACAGCGATGCTGGTGATGGGCCAGCTCAGGGTGACAGGCTGTGTGTCCCCTCCTGGGGACAGAGCAGATCCAGCTGTGGGATGTTTTCTACCTGCACAGGCTCTCGGGGATGAGCTCCAGGTTGTTGTTGGCCGCCATGAACTCCTCGAGGTTGGTGAGCTTGCCGATGCCCGAGGGGATCCCATCGAAGTCCAGCTTGTTGGAGTTCAGGTACATCTTCTTCAGCTTGGTCAGCTTGCAGATGGCTGACTGCGGAAGGGGCAGAAGGCGGGGTGAGGGAGAACCACGGAAGCACAGGCAGGGATGGCACGTATGACAAGGGACATACGGGTAAGGAGGTGAGCTGGTTGCGGGACAGGTTGAGGGTCTCCAGCTGGGTCCACTGGTCGATGCAGAGGGACAGCTCTGTGATCTGGTTGCTGCTGAGGTTGAGGCGCCGCAGGCTGCCCAGGGTGTAGAGGCACTCGGGGACACGGCTGAGGTCGTTGCAGGACAGGTCCACGTCTGGGGGATGAGACAACCCGGTGACAACACCAGCCAGACCCATCCTGGGGCTGGCAGAGCCCCTGCAGGGCTCCGTGGGGCTGGCTGCTCCAGGCCTACCTGCCAGGTTCACCAGGCCCTCGAGGCTGGTGGGCAGGTTGCTCTGCGTGCGCTGGGTGTTCCGGAGGTGGAGGGTCTGCAGGGCTGTCATTGCTGGGAGCTGCCTGTGGAGCACAGGCCAGGGAGAGCCTCAGGATGGAGCAGGCACCAGCCCAGCCCCGGCAGACTGGGATCCAGCCTGGCAAGCAGGGCCTCACCGGAGCTGTGCGTGCAGGAGGGGGTTGTTGTTGAGGATGAGGGTCTGGAGGTGGACCAGGCGCCTCATCTGCGGCGGGAGGCTCTCCAGCTTGTTGTCGCTCAGGTCGAGGTAGAGCAGGTCCGTCAGGTTGATGAAGAGCTGGTTGGGGATGGTGTCGATGCTGTGGGAACAAGGGGATATGCAGGGCTGCCTGGGAGCTGCACCAGCCCAGGGCCTCCCTCGAGGAGGGGCAGAGAGCAGATGGAGGGAGGTGGCCGTGGCCAGGGGCAGATGGTCACCCCGGTCTGGACCCACCTGTTGTGGCCCAGGTTGAGGACCAGCATGTTCTTGGCGTTCTCCAGCTCCCGGGGACACTCCGTGAGCTGGTTGTAGCTCAGGTCCTGGGAAAAACGGGAGCACAAAGCAGGTGTCATGCCCAGCCCTGCACCCAGCCACCACCTCCCAAACCTGAGGGCTGAGGGGCATCTCCAGGGGCACAGCAGCAGGAGCTGGATCAGCATATGGGGAACCCAGCTATGGCTGGAAGCACTGCCAAAGGGTCATCCAGCCCACAGCAGCTTCCCTGGAACTCAGGCACGGGCTCCTCGAGGAGCACAAGTGGACACTGAGATGCAGGAATGGGACTCAGGAGGAGACTCTGCACCCACCAGCACCGAGAGGTCATCCAGCTGGAAGATGTCATCAGGGACTCCTGAGTTCTTCAGGCTGTTTGCACGAGCCACGATGGCCTGGAAAGGGGATACAGGAAGGAATTCACCCTCCTGCTGAGCACCCCAAGGTGGCCAGGTATGATCCTTGCGTGCCCCTAGATCCGAGAGGTGCCTGGGGACACCTGATGCAGGAGGGGGACACTCACCCGGAGGCAGGGCAGGCCGGAGAGCTCTCCATGGAGCGTGGTGAGGCTGTTGTGACTCACGGAGAGGTGTTCCTGCAGGGGAGCCCCAGACAAGCCCCAGTGAGAGGAGCTGGGGCTGCTCAGAGCAACAGCTGGGACCCCACATGGATGTGGGGGCTCTCCCATTCCAACAGAACTGGGAACTTGGAAGCCCTGACCCTCACAGGGCTGCTGGGACGCTCCCAGTCTCAAACTGGTTGGTTGGTCCCAGCGTGCCCACATTCCTGGGGTAGCCTTGACCAGGACACCCCAGCCCTGCTGCAGGGTTCAGGCTGCTCTGGGATGCCACCGGGCTGGCGTGTGGCAGTCCCACCCAGTCCCTGAGCAAACACATCCCAGTCCTTGGAGATGGGAAATCAGCGCTCCTCACCGGGTGATCTGGAAACGGGCAGACGTGGGGTGGGTGGGGGGTGGGAGGAATCTCCCAGGGGAAATGTTTTCCTCCGGGGATCACCAGCCCGGCTGTTGCCTGCTCAGGAAAACGAGGAACTGGCAGGCTGTGGGAGGGATGCCCGGGATTTAAGGATTTAAGTCTCGCCGTGTCCCCCTCGAGCATGTGGCAGGGCCAGGGGGAGCTCGGCTCCGAGCAGCAGGGAGGGATTCCCTGCACCTGGCACAGGGATGGGGACTCCTGGCAGCGTTTAAAGCGCTGTGTTTGTCTGACTGAACCAACTGAACGAGGTTCCTGAAGTGGTCCTGGACACCACCAAAGCAAAGCTGAGCCACCAAGGAGCTCCACCAAGGAAGGGCCTGGTGGAGCCGCCCAAAAAACAAAGCCAGGCAGCTGCCAGCTCCTGCTCCTTATATATTTCAGCAGAAGAGGAGGAAAAAAAGCCCCAAAACCTTAATCCTCCCCACACTAACCAGCCCTCTTCCCATCTGTTAAGGGGCATAGGATCTAACCATGGTTTTTCATCTGGTTTTCTAGGAAAACAAGGTGAAACCAACTACCAGCCTGTCTCAACCCCACTCCTGACAGCTCCTGCATCTGATTTCAACCACACATCTAGCTCAGCCCTATTATTAGACACCGGAGCATCCGCTAACGAGCCACGGGGCTGGCAGGGAGCAGCCTCCCTTCAGATCCCACGGCTCCAGCGGGACAGTGGAGCCCCATTCCCTCCCGAAACGGGGGGCTCACCAGCTTCTGGAGGGCAGCGAGCTCCTCGGGCAGGTAACAGAGCCCCGTGCGGTTCAGCTTCAGCCAGCGCAGGCTGGTCATGGCCTTCACGTGCTCCGGGAAGTACCCGCCCTGCGGGAGGACCAGGGTGAGGAGACCCCCTGCCCCACGGGGTGGGGGACTGGGGACCTCGCTCCGACCAGCCCTGTGTGGCTGGGATTGTCCAAAAGTATGGGATCTGGAGTGGGAGGGGCTGGGATCATCCAGTCCTATGTGATTGGGAACTGGGGGGCTGGGATCACCCAGTCCTATGGGATTGGGTGCTTGGGGCCATAATGACCCAGTCCTATGGGATGGGTAGCTGGAACTTGCTCAGTACTATAGTTTTGGGGGTGAGGGACAGGGATTGTCCAATCCCATGGGATTGGTAGCTCAGATCACAGAGTCCCATGGGATTGGGATCTGGAGGACCAGGATCGCCCAGTCCCTATGGGATTAGGAGCTGGGATCACACAGTCCTATGGAATTGGGAACCAAGGTCTGGGATCACCCACTCCCATGGGACTGGGACCCGGATAGGGTCGGGATCACCTAGTTCTATGGGATGGGGAGCTGAGGGGCTGGGATAGCCCAGCACGATGGGGCTGGGGGCCAGAATCCCCCAGTCCAATGGGATTGGGAAGTAGAGGGCCGGCGACCACCTGTCTCTCTGGCACCCCATGGAGGCCCGCAGGCTGCCCAGCCATAGAGGGCGGGGGCTCGGGGACCGCCCACCCTGGACACCACCCCCGGTGTACCGGGATTCCCCAGCCCGGGGGGGCCGGGCCGGGCCTGACAGCGCCGCGCGGGGCCCGGGCTCGCCGGTCCCTGTGGCCGGGCCGCCCCCGCTCCCACCGCCGTTCCCGCTCCCCCGCACCTTGAAGTCGTTGCCGCTCAGGTCGACGCCGCGCACGAAGGGCAGGACGCCGGTGGCCGCCATGGCGGAGGGACGGGACGGGACGGGATGGGAGGGGAGGGGCGGGGGGACCCTGCGGCGCCGCGCCCAGACAGGCCCCGCCCCCGGCCCCGCCCCGGCCGTGACGCGCCAAGGCGATTGGGCGGGGCCGGGCGCCACTTCCGCGCGCCGGTGGGCGGGGCCGCGCCCCATTGGCTGAGGCCGCGCGGGGGGCGCGCGGTGAGTGCGGGAGGGGGGCCGGGCCCGATCCCGATCCCTGTCCCTATCCCGGCTGTTCCGGGCCCGGCCGCCTCCCCCGGGCAGCGGAGGGTCCCGTCCCGCCTCCAGGCCCCGCGGTACCGCTCCAGCGCCGCCAGTGCCCGCCGGGGCGGCTGCAGCAGGGCCGGGTGAGGAGCGGGTGACCCTTTCCCGGCACGAGCGGCTTTTCCCCGCCGTGTCCCTTCCTTCCCTGAGATGGCCTTTCCTTCCCTAGGGTGTCCCTTCCCTGGGATACCTGTTTTCCGGGGCGCCCCTTCCCTTCCTTGGGGTGTCCCTTCCTTCCCTAGGGTATCACTTCCCCTGGCTGTCCCTTCCTTCCTCGGGGTGTCCCTTTCTTCCTTAGGGTATCACTTCCCCAGGGTGCCCCCTCCTTCCCCGGGGTGCCCCTTCCTTCCCCAGGGTGTCCCTTCCCCGGGGTGTCCCTTCCCTCCCCAGGGTGACCCTTGCCCCTCCACCCCACCCACCCGTCCCGCCGCCGCCAGGAGCCTTTGCCCCGGGGGCGGAGGAAGGCGGGACGGCGGCACCTCCCGCTCCCCCAAAATCCCTCTCCCCGCGGGCTGTGCCTCCCCCCGGCCCCGGGTGACCCGCGTTGTTCCCCGCAGGGCGGGCCATGGCGGCGTTCTGGCAGCAGCGGGGCCGGCGGCAGGAGCACGGCGGGCTGGGCGGTGTCCTGGACGGGCTGGGCAGCGTGTTCGATGTGCTGCTGGCCAACGCCAGGCTGGTGCTGGGCGTGAGCGGCGCGGCCGTGCTGGCCATCGCCACCCTGGCCGTCAAGAGGGTAAGGCTGAGGCCCGCGGGAGCAGGGGTAGGGTTGCTGCTTGGGTGCCCAGTGTGGTGAGGAAAGATGTGCCACGAGCCTCGCTGGCTGCTCCAGAGCTGGCCCCTCATGTCTGGGACAAATGCCACCAGTGCTGGCAGCAGTGCTGTGGGTGTGGAGAGTGTGGAGCTGCCCGTTCCCACCTGGAGCAGCACGCACCTGGGATGCAGTATCCCATCCAGAAAGGCACCTGGGGCTTATTTGGGCACCTGTTTTCCACTTAAAATCCACGGGAAGATGATGTGCACCTCTGTGGCTCCCCAGACTGGGTGTTTTTCCGAGTGTCCCCCATTGTGTGCACTGGAGGGGCTGTTGTCACCCATAATTTGGGGGAAACAAGGATAACGACTTATCCCTGTGGGTTTCCTTTCCTCCAGCTGATCGACCGAGCCACCAGCCCTCGGGATGAAGGTGATCCCAAAGCCGAGCAGAAGACTCTGGAGGAGACCTGGCAGGACTTGGCCTTGATCAAGACAACACCAAAAACCCCCAAGAAGCAGAGGAGGGAAGACCTCAGCGAGCCCCTGCTCTCCCCAGCTCGGCCGCTGGTGCCGGGTGAGGCTCAGGGTGTCCAGCTGGGAAGATCACCTTGCTGTGCTGGGGGCTGGCTGTGCCCTGCTCCGGCACTTTGGGAGCTCGGGGTTATTTTTAGCTCGGTGTCCGGGAAGCCGACCCGATGGAGCCTGCCCTCCTGGGAGGCTCCCGAGCCACGGCCCCTTTTTAGGCAATGCCTGTGGAGACGGGAGCTCTGATAACACCCCGGCTGTCCCGGCAGTGCAGCACGGCGGGGACTGGCGGGGTTTGTCTCCTCTGGAGTGGTGTTGGCTGCCCTCGTTTTCTGGGTCAGCTCTGCCTGCAGGAAGGTGCGCTCGGGAGCTGCTGCAGACAAAGGCTGCCTTGTCCGGCTGCCTACAGAGACGGCATTTTTCCAAGTGGGAAGGCGGCCTGGATCAGGGCAGGGCAGGTCCTGAGATACTGGACCTGGAGCAGGATCATTTGCAGGACTCTCCTGAGGGGCAGCACTGATCTCTTCCCTCTGGTGACCAGTGACAGGACCCGAGGGAATGGCTGGAGTTGTGTCAGGGGAGGTTTAGGTTGTGGGTTGCTTACAGCTCGGGGTATTCCATGATTCTCTCAGTTCACTTGAGTGATCAGGCAGGCAATGGAACAGGCTGGATCTGCTAGAGCAGCCTCTGTGAGGCTGAGACTCGTAGGGACCCTGGCAGCGAGTCCCTTACCTGGCTCACTTAGCTGAGAAGTGAGGCCAGGCACTGTTGGGTTTTGAGGTTGGTTTGGGCTCTGCATGGCTGAGAAGCACCGTTAACATCAGAGGATTCAATGGGGCCCTCACCAAGGTCAGTGTCTCATCCAGAGGGGTGGGCTGAGAGCTGAGCACCCCTGGCTGCAGCAGAAGCTGCTGCTGTAGGTTACAGATGATCTGCCCAGAGCTGTGAACTTCTCCCTTCTCTTCTCACAGATCCCAGGGCGTGCTCTGCCCCTCTGGGGGCTCCTCGGGTGAAGTCCAGCCCTCTGCGCTGCCTCACGCTGCAGGAGAGGCTCCTCTCACACCACAGCAGCCGCCTGGCCGTGCCTGAGATCCAGGTGTCCCTCGTCCCTCAGCTGGCCAGGAGCATCAGCACCCAACTGCAGAACTTCCTGCGGAGCAAGTGCCCAGAGCTGCCCTTCGGCCGCCTCTTCCTCAGCGGAGCCCTCCTGGACGGCCTGGAGGTCCTGGCAGCCGACCACATCCACCTCATGCTGCCCGTGGTCCTCGACGCCGGGCTCTGGAGCCTCATCCCAGGAGAGGACACCGTGGTGAGGAACCCCCAGTACTGGATGATCAAGAGGGTCGACCTGGGGTACTTCCCCCGTGGGTGCAGCCCCTGGGACAGGTTCATGGTGGGCCGGTACCTCTCCTCCAGCGTGCTCAGCGAGACCCTCCACAAGATGCTGGTGGCCTCCATCAACTGGCCTGCCATCGGCGGCCTGCTGGGATGTGCCATCCACCCCGTCGTGGCCTCCCGGGAGCTGAAGCTGGAAGTGAGACACGAGCAGGTCGAGCTGAGCATCACCCTCTTCCCGCTGGTGGAAATGGAGGGCAAGGTTCTTCTGGCTGTTCCTCCCGAGGGACTGGTGGAGAACCTCTGGCTCGAGAGCTTTTACAGGGCGGAGGTCTCGAGGGTGAAGGAGCTGGACGCCGGCGACTCCGGGGCTCGGCAGCGCTGCCTCCGCCTCCTGAACGGTGTCTGCAGGAGCCACCCCACCCTGCACAAACTGGGGGGCAGCCCCGTGACCCACGTCATCCTCCACCTCAGTGACTCCGGCTCCGACTGGGCAGAGGAGAGCCTGGCCGACAGGTTCCAGCAGGTGCTCGAGGAGCTGGTGGCCTACCTGGAGAAAGGGGTCCTGCCTTCCTATTTCAACCCCAAAATCAACCTGTTCTCCGGGCTGTCGGAAGAGGAAATCGACGAGATGGGCTTTGTGCTCTACAGGGCCATGTCTGAGCCGGAGCTCCTGCTGGAGTGACCGGTGCGTCGGGAGCTCCTGGACGTGGGATGTTCCTCACCCGCCTGCTGCTCCCCGCTGTGAGGGCTGCCATGCTTCTAGTTGACTAGTCAGTAAGAGGCAGAGTTCTTGCACTTTATGAGGAAAAAAAAAAAAAATGGTTCCTGTGTGAATAAAACGTGCCTGAGCAGAGGTGGGTGCTGGCAGCAGGAGCCTTTGGCTGGGAGGCTCTGCCAGACCCGGGGCCAGGGCAGCCCAAGCCTGGAGTACCCACAGGTGAGTCCCGTGTGCTGGGAGCCGAGGGAAGCATGTTTACTCTCTGGTTCCCAGTGTCCTCTGCCTGTCCCAGCTGTCAGGCTCCCCCTGTGCTCCCAGACCAGCTGGAGCTGGAGGGGAGCAGCTCCTTCCCTGCTGCTGTGTCCTGCAGACCCCTCAGGTGCAGTGCCCTGGGTGGGTCCTTTCACCAGCACTTGAACTTACTGTGCCAGCACTTGGGACAGGCCTCACCTGCCTGGAGGGTATTGCCAATCCAGAATATGCCCTGTGGATGACCTGGGTGGTTGTCTGGGCACTGGGTGGTACAGCCATAGCAAACGGGGCTGGGGGTTTATTCCTTGGAAACCCTTTCAGCTGCCAAAAGGAGCGAGCTCAGCTCTACCTCTTTGTTCCCCTCGAGGAAAGGGTTTGCTTCCAGCACGGAGCTGGGGCTTCATGGCTCTTTCCCCACGCAGTGTTTTGCTGGAAGATGTCCTGAGAAAGAGCTGCTGGCTCTGGGGAGGCTCCTGGTGTCAGTGCCCTGGAGGCTGCAGCAGGGCTGTGTCCCCTCCCCGGCGGGTGGGTGGCTGCCAGTGTCTGTCTGTGGGTACAGCGTCACTGCCAGTCTGTCTGGTCACCTTTTCACACATGTATTGCTGCTGTCTTGAGGTCCTTTTTTTCCCTGGAGCCCCATGGTATGGGGTGGGGAAGCAGGGCAGGAATGCTGCTGTAAGCAGAGTGCTTGCAAGAACTGAAGTGGTTTGTGCTTTTTATTAAGAAAATATGTTTTGTTTGGGTATTCTGTTGGTTTCTTTTTTTCCTGTGAGTGGCTGCTAGTAGGGTTTGGTCTGGCTCTAGTCCCAGGGCAAAGGAATTTATTCTTATATTTAATGGGAAGAGCTGGTTTTGCACGAGGGTGGAGCTGGAGAAATCCTGTGGACTTCAGTGTGAGCAGCTGTTGTGGTTTAATTTTCTTTACAACTGTCATCTTGTTTATGGGAGGAAAAAAACCTGCTTTTCCTCCCTGTCTGAAGATTACTTTGTTCCTCCAAACCACTTCCCAGGTGTTAGTGATGAGAATAAACCTTCCCTGTGCACTCTGGCTCTCTGGTGTCAGCTCTGGTTTGTCTCCTTTCCCATGGTAAGGGCTGAAGTGATTCCTCAGCTCTGATGACCTTCCCAGGAACCACCCAGGGCGTCCCCTCGCTGTGTGGAGAGCTTGGTGGTGGTCAAATCCTCTCCTGCAAG